ATCAATTAATCAATCAATCAATCAATCAATCAATATCAATCAATCTATCAAACCTGTTTTTTTTCAAATTTTTTGTTTATTTATTTTTAAATTTTGTATCTTTATTTTTCTAAAACACCTCCTACCCCTGCAAAAAACAGAAATTCATTTCCAAAAAATACAGGTGACCTCAGGGACCATATATCTGATGATAAAAAATGAAGAAAAAAAAAAGCCAACTTTTTTTTATATATATATTTTTAATTTTTTTTAAATCGAATTTAGTTTTTGATTTTTTTAAAATCCGAAACAAAGTCGGATTCCAAAAAAAAAAAAATGGGGTTGTAGGGCTTAAAACTCCCTACAACCCCAAAGTTTTTTTTTTTTTTTATAGCCTATTATTTAATTCAGAAAAATTCTGGTAAAATCGGGTCCGCGGCGCGGACCAGGTAGGCCGTGGATGCGGACCCGTCTGCGTCCGCCATCCGAGATTGGATCCGCGTCCACGGGTGTTACATAGATCAGAGTATCCAACAAGAATCAAGGCATCCAAGTGTTAAGGTATCACAAATTGATAGTCACTCCCTACTCATGAACGTTACTCTATTCTAGATGATGAGGGAGTCATAGCTTTACACAAATGTATTATAAGAACACTCCACACCTCACTAGCAAAAACGAGAAAATTGGTTAGAATTATACACAGTGTTGTCTTATGTATAAAAAAGTCTATGAAGCAAAAGTATACATCTCACTACTGGCTCAACCCGCTGATGTACATGGGTCTGATTCAATCCTCCATGTCTTTCTCTATTTACAGGTAACCATCAGTCAGAGAGTTAGAGATGCCTTCCGTATACTAGACTTAGACCTTTCCGGACCTTATTAGAAAATCCTACTCCTGATCACTCATGCTCTCTTGCAGCTGCCTATACAACTGCACCCTCACCTCATCACGAGTCTTAGGTACCAGGATTCCACTTCTATCTCTCCATACTCCAGATGACTCTCTGTTAACCAACCCATTTGCCTCGTCCTTGAGGCTCTTGGGGCAATCGTCAGATCGATGCTTGCCCTTCTTGCAGTAGAAGTATTTGCCAATCTTCTTCTGGGACATCTTGTCTCCTTCCTGCGAGGGTACTGATGACGGGACTTCTGAAACCTTACTGATGACCTCCTGCTGTGGAACCTCTGGGGAAGTGGGCCAGGCTGCTCTCTCGTCTGTTGGCATCACCTGCTCGCTGACACGTCCCTCTGGCCCCGAACCAGTGGCCCAAGATCCCAACGCGTCTCGTAGATTTGCAACCAGAGGCATATCCTGAGGTATAGCCGATCCCCGACATCCCATCAAATTCCTCCTGGACTCCGCCTCCATGGTCTGACCCAAACTCTCCTGACCTTCCTGTTGCCTCACGGCCTCCCCTTAGTTGTTGGTGGAACCACTTCGGCTCCCATGGCCTCTGCTGATGGCCCCTCTTCTGGCATCGCCGGCTCCTGTCCAAGTGTCAGACTTGCCGACATTCTCCACTCGAATCCTCCAACCTCTGAGTTCTTCACAACTAGTTCTCATCGCGGCTCCAACATCTCTTTGTCTATCAGGGGAATCTCCTCGCCCGCCTGCTGGTCCACCTTCTCTTCTTCCTTCAGGCATCTGAAGGTTTCTGCTGCAGGTCGTTCCCTGATCTCAAATCCTTGGACCTCAGTCCAATCCACCACTGCAGTTGGAGCCTGTCGCGTACACCTGGCCTCAAGGTCCTGTATCATTTTCTCCCATTCCGCCTCCTTTGCCTGAAAGAAAACCTGTTGTGCCTGCAAGTAGGCCCTCAGGACGTCATTCACCTTGTTGAGCATCTGGTTGATTTGCCCGACGGCCTCGTTCTTTGCCCAAACCTTCTCCATATCTGTTTTCACTGCCTCCACCTCTTTGCTCTGCCTTTCCAGCTCCTTCTTTAGATCTTCCACTTCTCTTTCCCAGTCCACCCTCTGGCCATACGCCTTTTGTGCCACCTTTGTCAGCCTCTCTCCAATCTTTTGATCTGAAGCTCTGGCTGCTGCGAAGCCTTCCGTCATCACGCCCCTCAGGTTGAGTAGGTCTGTGGAGACTAGCTTGACGCCCATCTCCTGATGATGTTCTCCAGACCTCCCTGCAATGTCCATCAGTTTGTCAAAGCTGACCCAGACCTCTGAAAATAGGGGAAGGTCCTCCTCCTAAGCGCAAGAGCCCTTTCCACTCTTGTTATCCACCTCCTCAGGCTTTTTTCCCTGCTGCATCCTCTCATGCAGCTCTGCAAGGTTCTTCATCCTGAGATGAACCCTGATCTCTTGCTCCCTCGCCGCTCTCTCTTTCCTGTCCAGTTCCTTCTCCTGGGCAGACTGCTCTTCCTTGTGCTCCTGCACCTGTGGCTCATGAGGCATGTCTGGCTCTATGTCTGGCATAGGACAGTCCACTCCTCTYTGAGCAGGTTGTGGAGGCACCGCTGGACCACCTGACCCTCCTGCTGTGTCGTGCCTATGGGATTTGTGCTCCTTCCTCTTGTCCTCCCTCCGAGTCCCTGATGGCATGCCTCGCTCAAAGGTTCTCCTTTCCTCTGCTTCTGGCTCCCTCTTCTTTTCCAGACTCCTTCGTTCGCCTGCCTGGCGTGCTGGAGTACAGTAGTTCCACAGCAACTTCTTGCAATGTCCCAACTCATGGCTGGTGCCACAATAGATCTGACAAAGGGYCTGATATGTCTCCTCACATACGGGAGGAAGCTCCCTATCCTCTGCTCTCCTGGGATATCAAGCTCCCCCACATATCGGTTATAGGCCCAAAGGAACTCCCCCAGATTAGTAGAGTCAAACCCAATGGGTTGTCCATCTCTCCCCACTGGCGACGGGTGCAAACCCTCCATCTTTCTCTCAAAATCCTGCCAGGTTAGGGACTCCCTGACAAGGTTGGCAATGGGGTCCGCCCACTCGCCTGTGCCTCGTACCTCTCTCAGCATTCTGGTGCCATCCCATCCAAACTCCCGAGCATGCCTCTCGAACTCGATCAGGAACAGCTCAACGTTCCCTCCCTGGAAAACCGGAGGCCTATCCTCTCTCCTGGTGCCCATCTGCGTCCTCTGTCTGGTCGCCCCCAGAGGGGTTTCCACTGGCTCTGCCCCTCCCCTCCCTCTTGGCATGGCTGCTCCAAGTGGTGTCAAGCCTCGTCTCGAGCCACGAACTTCTTCAGACTCGAGCCTGACACCCAATCCTTCCATGTCGTCCCATTTAACTCCTCAATCTGGTAGGCTCCGTGCTCACCACACCTGGTGACCTTGTACGGTCCCAACCACCTCTTGTTCAACTTCCGTGACAACTGTTTTTCCAAGGATGAGTCATATAACAGCACAACGTCTTCCACCTTGAGAGATTTTTTCCTTACTCTCGTCATTTTATCCCACCTGAACTTGTCCTTGGTACGGCTGTCCGCCACCCTACTCGCTGCTCCCTCAATTCTGTCCTCTATAACGCCAATCTGACGTGCCCTAAAGTCAAGCAGTTCTTCAAACGTCAGATTAGTCTCGAGGTCCTGCCACCTTCAGGTCTTTAGGAAGCTTTCGATGAGAAATGTTGCATGCCTGCCATACCATAACGTTGCCGGTGCGTAGCCGGTGCTTCTCCTGACAGTGATATTATCCACGAAGAAAGTGACCCTTAAAAAATTCGGCCACTGATTGGGTTTGCCATCAGTCCACTTGGCGAGAAGATTCGTGACGGTGTTGTGCCCTCTTTCCACCGGTGCATTAGCTTGAGGGTGCGTCGCAGTAGTATACTCGGCGATTACCCCATACTTCTTCAAAAGTGCCTTCACCTCGGCACAGGTGAACTCGGACCCTCTATCCATCACAAATCTGGAAACAAAGGGGTAGCGTAGGTAATACTCCTCGATGCRTCGGGCCAGCGTTTCCCAGTCTTCGTGCGAATGGCCCTGCCATCTACAAACCCAGAGAGGTTGTCCCGCGCATCAAAGATAAAGTTGTAGCTCCCTATTCCCAGTGGCATTGCCGACAGATCCAGGTGCACGACCACTCCAACTTCATGAACATACCTTGGGTGAAGCGGCTCTCTAGATCTAAGGGAGGCTCGCTCCTGGCATGGTACATAAGATTTACAATAATCATCGATCATCTGTCCTATGCCATCCCAATAGTACAGCTCGTGTATCTTGAGATATGTCGTTTCCACATTTATGTAGCCCCCTGCCGTACCGTCATGTAGTGCTGCCATAATGTCAATCTGGCGAGCGATGCCGCAGACTACTCTTCTGGGAGCCTTCCCTTTGCTTCTCATGAATAGATGGCCATAACTTACTAAGAAGCTTGGCCTCATCTTCATAACTCTTGTGCAAGCGTCCCTTTCCCTCATTTCACATGAAAGAAGCATTCCGAGTTCAAGGTATACTCCCTCATATTCCTCTGCTCGAAATGCCTCCTTAATCTCACCTTCCTCAAAATCATCATCCTCACTCTTGTGGATCACATTATCATCCTCTTCCTGATCTTGCACCGTATTCCTGACCACCTCTTCGTGAAGTAGAGCATTCGCCAACAGATACACCCCACCTATCACTTTCTCATGCTTGCCCACCTGCAGAGCCCCATCCTCAATCGTAAGCAAATCCTCATGTAGCTGGTATTGCCTGCCAAAGCCAGCTCCATCATCCAATCCACGTCTGGCATTCCCCAAGAGTCTTCTTCAACATAGGTTTTGAGGACTGGGTCTGGTCGTCGTACATGTCCTGGTGGCGCAAGCCACACAGGTCGCCCAAGAGTAACATAGTTACCCACGACCAATGACCAGGAGTTCATGTGAAGTCTCACATCCTCCTCACTGTCCAGGAACCCGTCCACTGGTGGAGTGTCCTCGATCACTCCTTGGTTGTTCTTGTCCCACTCGACTCAACTCAACCCATCTGCTCTATTCTTGTTCCCCGGAATTCGCTCCAACTCGAAGTCAAACATCTATGTACGTCAACCACCTGACAATAGTTGGATCTGAAGGAGCGAAGTTCTTGAGAGACCCAACTAGAGCAGTAGGGTCCACCCTCAATACCAACCTGTTGCCGAGGAGGTAGTTTCTGAAAATCCTTAAACAGTGAAGAACTGGCAAGGTTTCGCGCTTAAACTGAGAGTAGTTCCTCTCAGCTRTATTAAGCGTCCGACTCTCAAACCTTAGTGGTCGTTCTTCCCCATTGGGATCTCGCTAAATCAACACACCTCCTAGGGCAATCGACCCTGCGTCCGTTTCTACAATGAAAGGTCTGGTCATCACCGCTGCATGATCTGGTACCCCCAGTACTATACCTCCTTCCTCAAACTCTTTGTTCAGACCTTCTATCACCGATTCTTGCCTATCTCCCCATTCTCAATCTTGACCCTGACGCACAAGCTTTCGCAACTGCTCCGTCTTCGCCGCAAAACCTTTTATGAAGATCCTCCAAAACCCGCACATTCCCAGGAAACTCCTTACCTCAGTAATGGTCTCCAACGGGGTTGGCCATTCGAGAATCTTATTGGTGTTCTTAGTATCTGGCCGACGACCCCTCTCGTCGCACACAAATCCTAAGATAGTGGCCCCGCTCATGCAGTGCCTCGACTTTGGCCCACTGACAGTGAGATTCTGCTCCTTCAGTAGGTCCAGGACCTTGCACAAATCTTGCACATGGTCCCAGACAAAACGCCTGATTCCCGGTATCACCTCCTGCTCATCCTTCTCCTTAGGCCCTTTCACAGCCAGATCATCAATATAAGGCTGCGTAATGTGAGGACTTATGGGCTGCATCGCCCTCACCATGTGCCTCTGGACCATGGCAACCACATTTGTCCACCCTTGCGGTGCGACGTTYATATGGATCAACCCTCGAGGAGTATGCATGACCGTCATTGGCCTGTCACATAGGTATACATAAAATTGATCGTAACCTGAATATAAGTCTATGAGAGTTATTATGGCTCTCCCAGTGTAGGCTTTTGAAAGCGCATCGACATTGGGGAGACCATCTGCGTCTCTCACAGTTACAACGTTCAAGCGTTGCAAATCCTGTAGCCATCTCAGTGTCSCATTGGGTTTGACAAAGCAAAACCAGGGGGATGCATACGGTCTCCTCAAGTAGTCTGCCACATGCGTGTGGATCTTCCCATCAAGGTATTTAACTACCTTTTCTTCATCAGTTGGGTTAGGATACCGCGCACCTCGCAAGTTCCATGGCTCGTAAGGCACGGTATATATTCTAATCATCGGGATTATATCCACGTCCAGATGACCTCTCTCATCATCACTGAAGGCATACGCAGTGTGCCTTCCTCTTATGGTTTCTACCATAAGCTTCTCTTCCTTTGCTGTAAGGAAGTCAGACTCTCATATAATCAGCGCTTTCTCTGTCTCAAGGGTGATACGACACGGCCCATTCTCTGCGTTTTCTCGCATCTGCCGTATCAACTCTC